GTAGATATCTGTTAGTAATGTTCACTGAATGCAATTTTATTATTTTGTAGTATTGTATGCAGAGGGCTTTATTGAATTTTTTAAAATTATTTCTTTTACCTTTTTGAAAAACATTCCTTATTTTGCCAAGTTGTTGTATTGTCCTCTCAGGTATTTGAAAGTGTTGGCCTGTCCAACAGCATGCTGGCAGAGATCTATGCAGCAGTTCCAGAGGCCACTGTGACAGCTGACACAGTACAGCTGGAAGAGATGGAGTTCAGCAGTGACATCACTGTCACACATGTCCATGAGGGTGTTGGAAGTGGTGAGTACACCGAGTCTGAGTCACACATTCATATTGTTACACTAATTTCATTTATTTTTATTTATATTACACTTTTATATACATCACTCATAGTTTAGATTACAACACTCACAAAAGTGAGCTTCAACTTTGTTTTGCCCAGATTTTCATCATTGTATGATATTTTGGATGGTTGCTTATACATATTCAGGAAGGTAAGTGACTTTAAAAAATCTCTTTAAGGTAATTAATAAATAAATAAAAGAAAATTATTGCTAGTAGTAACTCTCTGTAGTATGTATTCCTGAAATAAAAACATAATTTTTTTCCAATCTTGCCAGGTATTCCATTCAGTTTTACAGCAGATGGCAGCAACCCCCAGTCTCTGATGACCACTGGGATCCTCCTGATGTCTGTGTCCTGGGGAGTGGACACCAATGGACTGCCCCTAGTACCACCCACTAGTAGTAATGTCAACCAAGCGTTCAGGTGAGTGGATATGTAGACTTAGATATATATAGTCAAGGTAATTTAAGTAATGTGTCATATATATATACAATCTAGCAAAGTGATATCAACTTTTTAATGATAAATGGGGCCATCATTTTAATATGGGTATATTTTCTCTGTTTCAGTGCAATGAAAGGTCTAGATGCTGTGGCAGCTATAGGAGCCTCAGCTATGGTAGACATGGAGAAGCTGTCCAAGTGGATAGCAGAGTCCAGGCTGGACCCCAATGACCCCAGCAATGCTGACCTAGTCTACATGATGAAGGTAATGATATGGAATGGGTCGATATATCTATTCATGTTTATGAAAAGAGTGAGGGCAGTGCACAGATAGACCTTTTTTATTACCTGAAGCTATTTATCCAGGCTATTCATGGTATTTTGCAACTAATATATTAATGTAGATTTATAATAATGAATATGAAAACAATCACTGATGACAGCAGTGCATAGATAAACCATTAAAGCTTCATTCACATGCAATGTCTATTTTCTAAATTCTATTTTCTATTCACGGTATGTCTTATGATCACGGTCTGTGCCCTGAATATCCCGCGGCGTAATTACTGGCAGCACGAGCCAGTTACTATAAGTTACTATAAGTAACTGGCTCGCGCTGCCAGTAATTACGCGGCGGGATATTCAGGGCACAGACTGTGATCATAAGATAGCGCGAATAGAAAATAGAATTTAGAAAATAGACATTGCATGTGAACGAAGCCTTATAGTATTTTACTTTTTATTATCTAAGCTTTGTATCTAGTCTGTGTAATGACACACTTTCTAAAGCATTTTAACACACATTATTACGTCTTTCCCAGCCCATGAAAGATGGCACTGGACTGCAGATGCCCTCTTATTTTCGCTTGGAGCACCTTCAAGAAGAGTTCAACTTCACCACAGATGAAGAACTGGACATGCATCGCAGGTTCCGTCTGATCAGGCTACGTGAAGAGGAAGTTCCACTCTTCAAAAACAAACAAATCCCTGCACTTGAAAAAGACATTCCACAGGATGCATTTCTTGTAAGTGGAGGAGATATAGATAGCCAGATACATACAATATATTTTGTTGTCAAAAGGAAAAAGATAAAGAATACTATTGTAGATTATGATTTTTGATTTGTAGGAGTGATGAAATTCCATTGCAATTTACTAATCACAATTACTTTATTTTTTTTACTAGGAATATGAGAAGAAAGAAAAAGAGAAGGAGCAGTTGAGGGAGGACAAAGACATAGAATCTCATAGAGCTGCAGTTGCACAGTTCATGCAGAGGGTAACATTACACGTTATTCTTATTCACACTATGTAATTTTCAAAACATATAATTCCTTTCAAGTAAACAAAGAAAGGTCTTAATTTGGCTGTGAAATTTAGAGTTCTATTTTGTCATTCTGCAGGTGAGAGAGCAAGTCCTGCAGAGGTTCAGACTGGCAGCACATCAGAAGTCATTTCATGATGTTGTCTTTGAGGAGGAGGTGCCAAATATAGGGTAACTATAGAAACTGCCCATCAAAGAATAAGACTTTCAGACAGAATGGATATTTCTAAACATTTGTGTATACGTTTAAATGGCCTATGCCACGTATGTGTTGTATTACCTCCTTGAATATTTATCTTGTATAATTTTGCCAAACAGTGCTCCCTAAAATTATCTAGGGCTAAAAATTTATTTTTAATGAATTACATATAAATAGACAAAATGAATTGCTACTTCAAGATATTTTTATTATTTTATTTATTTATTTATTTATTTATTTATTTATTTATTTATTTATTTATTTCTTTATTTTACCTTAAGGACCCTGGCCATCAACCTCCAGCAGCTTGGAGAGCCCAGGAGACCGCTGAGACCTGTGCGCAAGGAAAGGAAGAAGGTGTCTGCACAGAATGTCTCTGAGGCTGATGTAGTCATCAATGTTCAGAGAGCCTATGATGTACCCATCAGAACAGATGCTGTGCCGTATGTTATAGTCTTATGTCTTCTTATATGTAAAGGTTAATAACATCAAGACAGGAAACTGAACATTGTTAGTCTGTGGTGTAAGCCACTAGTTTGATTTGAAGAAATTCACAGGTAGGTTTGGAGTCCGACTAATAAACGAGATTTTTCCCACTTGTCTGACTTGACATTATCTTTTTTCTATTATCTATGTAAAATTTTCATCTTCGGATGAGATCATATTAAAGTGCAGTCTGCAGTGATATGTAATCACCTTTCCTTTTTTAT